GCAGATACACGGTGGTCTTTTCTATTTGGCAGTTGGTAACCACGTCAAGAAATTTAGTTCAAATTTTTAACCAAGGATTTAGCTTTCTGTCTGAATCAAACTTTAAACGTTTATTTGTGTCCGACACAATGTATTGACTGTAGTTTAATGCGTGTTCTTATGAGTCCGGGCTCACAAAGATATTACAATTACTGGGAATGCGTTCTTATAATAAGCATTAAATAATGCCAAAATGGGGCATTTTCAATGCCTCACTGCTCCTTAATGAGCATGGGCACCCCCCTTTTTTATTTCGAAATTGAAGTTATCATATGACAAATATCCAGTGGACAAAGTTTGAACAAAAATCTATTGTCACTTTTATTTCAGAGGAATTACCTTAAGCGATTTCAGCGAGTCTTAATTTGTCGCTATTACCCTAGAATCAAGAAGCTATGAACAACTCAGTCTCTTGCCTAAAATACATAAATAAGTTTATGATTATCATAGTTTCATGATCAATTATCGATTCCTTTCATTTCTATTCTCTTTCCATTCTGTACAGGAGTGTGTGTTCACTGAGAACTTCTCTGACACTTCGCTCAATGTTTACTGGGCTGGTGCTTTAAGAATCTACAACTGTGACAACTGCTGCTTACGCTGGTATTTCACTTTCAACGGTGCTGAATGTTCAGGCCCCCTTCCAATTGATGGTGTTTTGTTCATGTATAAAGGTAGTGGTACAAATCCTAGTCGTGTCCGCCATATTAGGGAGTTTACGAAACCACGACGGCAACGGCAACGGGTACGTCACCGAACAAAAGAATTAATGAGCAGAACAATGGCTGTGCACGTGCGTTATAATTCTTAGTACATTTCTTTGCCGTCCTCTGCAAAATAGCAACGTGAAATGACCAAATTTTGCGTTGTCTGGAGAACGTGAACCACGACAGCTAATTTTTTAAATTTTTACTTCAAATTTATCGCTATGTTCCGGATTTAGTTTTGCGATAGTTTTGACAATGATAAACAAAGTAAATGACTTAAGAGTATCGCGAGATTCGTTGGTAAAATATAAATTCATTTTTTAATCAACGTTGTCCTCGGTGTCGGCGTCGTGGTTTCGTAAACTCCCTATTGAGGGGCACTGTAACCACATCCGCAAAGACAAGGTGCGCGTGGGATTCTGGGTCACTAATTGTGCTGGATTCAGTGGATGTTATGACGCCTACACTGGATACAATTCAGTGTGCCGGATATTTATGAAGACATTCCTAAACCCCAGACTTAGATCTTGATACAAAACATCCATTCGTGCAGAAAGGCGGATAGGACGGTGATAAATTGCTTTATCGTATATTGCGGGTTCCTGTTAATTTCTCCATGTACTCTGTATTTTTGCTGATGTTAAATAAATGGCAGAAAGATTGACAAAAATGTTGTTGCTTGTCTGTTTCTTCATTCTAGATTTGCAAATTGAATAACGCAGCTATGAAAATTACTAAATATTCCAATTTTTTCTACTAATTTTGGCAGATTAAAAAGTTTACAAAAACAACGAAGGTTGGTGGCGTCAACGAAAAATGCGATAGTTTCACAAAAATATCCCAAAATTGGCGAGTGTACAAGGAAGCGATGTGACAGGGAAGTCCACGTTACCACGAATTTTACAAAGTTTCAAACATGACTAAAATTTAAAAAAGAAAACTAGATATCGAAAATACCAACAAGGAAACCTACGAGCTCCACTATAAAAGCAAATTAAGGTAGAATAGTGTCAAATGAGGTAGAAGCTCAGACAGAAACAAGATAAACATTGAAATCATCATTAAAACTACACAAAAAACTGCTGTAACAGAGACGGTCCAACCTATTAGCTTGGAAATTAACATAAATCAGTCTTAAGTTTAACTTTATAGCCAATTGTTTCTAAAGTGATCATCTTAATTGCGAACGTTTTTATTTTTCCCATATCAAGTTGTTAAAACACTTCATTTTTCACGTAAGTGGGCACGAGTAGATTGGCTGTGCAGCAACAGTTGTATGATTGTAACTGGTTGTAATTTAACAATGCACCAGGAGATTTTATGGAACTGATAAGAAACCCTTGTGGTTTACTGTATGAACAGCAGCAGTTTTGGCACCTTTTTTGGCCTCAAAGCCTGTCGCTGTTCAGATTCAAACAACTAACTCAGGGACTGGATATCATTAACTGAAAGGCCGGGTAATTTACAACAGAAATGTGTGCTGTCTCAACGTTCTTTTTCCGCTAAATTATTTGTCTCCCTTTAAATATATAGAGCTAGAAAAGATTAACATTTGCTTAAACAAGATCGTCAGGGAAGAAAGAGTGCATTCGGAGAAGAATTAGAATAATAAATTACGTGCTTAAAAAAGAGAGAAAGGAAGAAGAATAGTTTATTCCGTCACCAAGGTCACATGTTAGTTGCAGCCTCACCACTTGCTGTATTAGTTGCAAGACAATTTATCCAATTAAAAAGAATCAAATGCGTCATTCTTCGCACAGCTAATCAATGGATTCCACCTTGATTCTACACTGTGATCCAGCAGGTTGATTTTACAGTTCATCCAACTAAACGCGCCTCATTTCTAAGACTAGATTAAAGCTCTGCCTAATCTTTTGGGAGCAAATAGCACAAGCAGGGCCCTGGGAACAGGTGATGACGTCATATACATGTTTTGGCACAACCTCCTTCTACCTCGAGATAGAGAGGAGCATGGGAACGAGATTGGCTTTGGCAATCAACGCACGTCAGTGTAAGGAATAAGTCTGGGTACTAAGCTGATGACCTCATCAGGATGTGTAGATTGATAAACGATCTGAAAATTTACCAAAGGATCCGGCTGATTTTACTCTGTAGTATGAAAACAGCGCAAGCATTCTCCAAAATACTACGGTCAATCGTCAATAGACAGATGAAAGGCAATGATGCGAAGGTAAGAGAAACTTAATCACTGTTTAATTTTGTAAAAAGGACAAAGGCACAGTAGGAACTTGTAAATAAAGAAGTGACTTCACTTATTGAAGAAGATAATTTACTGATTTATTAACAGTTCGAGATTATTAATTTCAAATGTGAAAACACATCAAGGTAAAACGAAAACTAACGAAAAATACACATTCAGAAAAACTGTGAGCATCTGCGAAGTGAAATACCACTGATCATCTTATTGTCGAGGGCTTTGTTGGTTGGTTCGTCAAAAGCTCAATCCTTGGTATACTAACACGGTAAGTTCTCGACAAAATTACATTTCTATAATTCCCGATAGCCACAGAGTCAAGATGTGCGCAGTGAAATGAATATTTGGATGTATTGTAAAGTTGGACATTGTGAAATTAGTAAGAATTTGCAAATGACTGAGTAGCAGAACGTTTCGCTTAGGAGTCGTCTTAAACAAAGAAACATTGGCTTTAGCAATTAAAATGACTGCTAAGTTTGAGAACATCGAAATTCTTAAATGAAAGGAAACTCAGCAAATTTAAGACTCCCAACCGACGAATACTTGTCTTAAATGAAAAATCCAACAACAATTGAGTATAGGTACGTAAAACAACCGGTTAGTTTGAGAGGGTAATCAATATTTACAGATATTCATAAATCATAAGGTAATCTGGCAAGNGCAATGATGCGAAGGTAAGAGAAACTTAATCACTGTTTAATTTTGTAAAAAGGACAAAGGCACAGCAGGAACTTGTACATAAAGAAGTGGCTTCACTTATTGAAGAAGATAATTTCCTGACTCATTAACAATTCGAGATTATCAATTTCAAATGTGAAAATACACCAAGGTCAAACGCAAACTAACAAAAAATGCACATTCAGAAAAACTGTGAACATCTGCGAAGTGAAATGCCACTGATCATCTTATTGTCGAGGGCTTTGTTGGTTGGTTAGTCAAATGCTCAATCCTTGGTATACTAACACCGTAAGCTCTCCACAAAATTACATTTCTATAATTCCCGATCGCAACAGAGTCAAGATTTGCGCAGTGAAATGAATATTTGGATGTATTATAAAGTTGGACATTGTGAGATTAGTAAGAATTTGCAGATTTCTGATTAAAAGAACGTTTCGCTTAGGTGTCGTCTTAAACAAAGAAACTTTGGTTTTAAGCAATTAAAATAACTGCGAAGTTTGAGAACATCGAAATTCATAAATGAAAGGAAACTCAGCAAGTTTAAGACTCCCAACCGACGAGTACTTGTCTTAAATGAAAAATCCAACAACAATTGAGTATAGGTACGTAAAACAACCGGTTAGTTTGAGAGGGCAATCAATATTTACAGATATTCATAAATCATAAGGTAATCTGGCAAGCGTAAGTTATTTAGCAATTTTCCTTAACTGATTAACAACAGTATACTCAATCAATGCTGTCGGAAAGTAACCTCTAGAGAATAGTCTATTTTCCATCGCAAGGAAAGTCTCCCTGTACCAACACATCGAAAGAAAAACGTTTTTAGCTTTTATTAAGTGCAACAAATCGAGAAAAAGGCGCCGGTATTCATAAAATAATTTGGTTCAAAATGGCCTATTCAGACGCGCATCGCCTCAGCGATGTCGTAGTACATGTTCCCCGGGGGACGGGGGATCGGGTGTTTTGTTTCGTCGGTACAGATGAAATGGAAAATATGCGACTCAGATTATAAAACAACCTCAGCTCTCGGTGAAAATTTAACGATTTCATGCTTTGTCTGTGATAATACTTAAGGCATTCAACCAGTCAGAATCAAAATTTTAATAGAATTTTGATATGATTTTATTCTATTAATTATTTACGTAAACCGGTTAGAGATCGAGAATGAATTTGGAAACAGTTTGTAGAGCGCAGCCAAATCTCAAGTGTTACAACGAAAAAAAGGAAGAGTTAACTTTCTGATGATTCATTGAAACCGCATATTTGCATAACGCGGTACCTTGACTCAATTGTGCATTTTAATGCGGCAGCGCGCTGCCTGCAGAATTAAAAAAAAAAAAAAAA